TAAAGCCTGGGGGGAAACATCTGATAGAAGGGATAAGTTCACCACATGTACCGCTTTGCTGACTCATGTGCTGTTTGACTATAGAATAACATCTCAGACGTACTTAAACTATAGTGAGATGTTTTTTTTAAACAGTTATTTATTAGTCTTAAATAATGTATGTAAATGTATTTACTAATGCAGATGTATTTATTTGATACAAGGAGTGCATTTTACGTGCACATCTTTGACTGTTGAATTTATTTACAATTGCATTAAAATAGATTGGGCTTTTTTTGTGAACTGACTTCAAATAAGTAGAGACTGTAAGCTGAAAATATCCCAGTTAATATAAACTTAGGCATGTAATGTGGAAATAAACTAGATTTGGCATATCTGGGCATGCCTCCAACCATTGGATGATTTTGGTATAATCCTTTATACATGTTAAGTATGTATCATTAAGCATTAGTGGTAGAGATAAAACATGCTGGCCCTGTGGTGGTTTGAGGCAAATTTGTGACAATATTCTATAAAGGGTTTGACTAATGGCAACAAAATGACATGAATCAAAATGAGATGCTGGTGATTGCAATTTTGAGATGACTTGTTCTGCTTTTGATATACTACTTCAGTGATTGAAATGAAATGGTTGGTTTTTATCAATGTTTTAGGCCCAACGTGAAATTAGCATCTTGACCACAAAACCTGGAGTCCAACAGCAGATGATATTTATAAGACCCTATTACATTTTTTTATGGCTCATTATGTTTTTTGTGGCTTATTATTGCCCCATTAGGCCTCATGAAAACATTCAGTTAAACTAGCTAGCTCCGTTCACAACACATTGAGTGCATTGGGTGAGACTGTTTGTACTCCAGTCTCACCCTTAGCATTCATACACTGCTGGATTACTGCAACAAATTGTATAAAACCTCATTTCAGTGTCAAGAAAACCATAGTATTACCTCACTCTTAGCATTTGTTTTTATAACTATAGTTATAGAACTATAGTAAAATGATATGAAGCCTATAACTTGTACCTCATACTTTTTTCTCCTTTTCTTAGAGCTCTTTTCTTTGATCACATGGCAAATACATTTTATATTTAAACAGCCGCCTATAAAACTCTTAAATTCTTTCTGTCACGCAGCCACTAGCTGATGTGAATATGGAGGTGTTTACCCCTTCCCATCAATATTTATATGTAAGAGACCTAGCTGTTGCTGGGTATTTGCTAGTGAGGAGATCCTTTGCAGAGCAGTGTGCACTAAAGCAGCCAAACTGCCAAGAGAATTAGCATTTGGGATGATAGCAGCCTGGACTGAGCAAAATAAAGTGATGGCCTTGGTGTGAGGCGAGTGTGGCCAGTCTTGTTTCATATTGTCTGATGAACAATTATAGAACTGGAGTTATCTGGATCCATATTATTATGTGAAAGTAGAGGCAATCTCATGGGAATTTTTGAATCACCCCGGAAGACGTATTTCAAGAATCTGCAAAGAGCATCTGCATTCTAGCTGATTTTAAATGCCTATTTGCTGTTAAACCAAGTGTGAAGGAGTGTTCGTAAAACAAAAGTTATTTGAGCAAATCTGACATTCTTCCTGTCATGTTGCTCTTATTATTGTAGTTTTTTTTTTAATTATTATTTGTTTTGATATAGCTTTCTACATTCACTTGCAGTGTTTTGGCTGAACACATTTATTATAAAAAAAAAAGTCAAATGAGACATGCACGGTGACGAGCTTAATCATGGTATAGAAAGCAGGAATTTGGTGACGGCAATGACTATTGTACTACTTGTGTCTGCCTGCATTCTTCACGGTGTTGTTTTTTCCCCATTAAATGTTCATCTGATAGATAAAACCTAAATTGCCCGTGCTCATTCAGAACTTATCTGATACAGATGGTGAGAGATTTATATTCCACAGCTTAGAAAAGGCCTGAAACAGGGAATTTTACTTGACCTTTACAGTGTGATGTAATGAATTTAGTAGGCTTCAGTGCACCTGGGAGATAAGTAATCTCATCCTGGAAAGCATTTTTTAAATACTTGGGACATATTTGAAGGACTGCATTGTGTTAGATAATCCAGGAGGTACATTTAAACGAATAGAGGGCGAGGAGATGTGTTTTCACTGTTGAGATAGTTTTGGTGCACATATGCATTATGTGCCTGATTGGGTTTTTAAACTGGGGGGGAAAAAATAACAGCATTGATCCCATCACACACGCAAAACCAGATCTCTTTGGATGAAAAAGCAGAAACAAAAGTACAAAGGTACTTGTTTTTAAAAGTCGTGGTGCAACCACAACTTTTAAAAACAAGTACTTTTGTCAATGTACTTATGTAGTTATTTGATTACGCAAGGATCACCAGACCTTTCTGTCGTTCATTGTCTCCACCCTTCCTGTGTTTGAGAACCCAAAGTCAATTTTACAGAAAATAGTTTCTCATTCCTAAAGCTTCTTCAAAAATTAAATTGTTGAAGAGGCAGGAGAGACAGACCTCCAAACAAAGCTAAGCTCTTTCCTCTGCTTGAACTGTGACCTATGGATACACTGATCAGAAGATGCTGAAGAACATTCAACCGATAGGAGTATCTGATGAATGATGACATCACATCTCGGATCACTTTACTTTTAGCCATTTTAATGATTAAATACATTTGAAACTGTTGCTATCTTTTTATTTCTTATATTGCAAATCATTTTCTGACTTTTTAAAGTACCATCCCAGGAAACCAATTTGAAAATTGGCATTTTTATCCCTTAAGATTTTTGTTTACAAATTACAACCAAAAAACGTTTAATGCTTGAATTAAAATTTTATTTATGCACTAATCCCACATGTTGCAACCACCTCCCCATCATTTTGGGATGAATTAGACATGATGAGGCTCTGCCATAATTATCAGAGTGAGAATCTTTGAATGCTTAATAGATGTGAAATGAAATCTCATGCAATGATATTGAAATGTCACAATGTTTCTTGTCTGGGAGAAATCCATCTGCTTGGTCCTGACACCATCACTAACTGTATGACGTTATCTGTATTTACTCATGGATATTTAATTTATTTATTTATTTTTTAAATGTTGTAGATTTTACCTAAAAAGAGATTGCCTTTGAAAATAAATGTTTACCTGACACTTCATATTTTTGGGAGTAGTGTTTTGTCCCTTCCAAATCTTCCTTGAAAAATGTAAACACATTTTCTCATCAGAGCATTTTGGCAAATTTCCAGTTTGCGTCTTGTGAAATGGCGTCTCTGAATTAGTCGCAGCCTTGGCTGTGGCCTGGAAAATAAGAGCTGTTGTTCTTCCAGAGTGTATTGTAAAATAAGCTCTCTGGGCACAACAGGAAGGCTGTGAACGAGTGCCAGGACGACTGTAGGGGATTACTGCTGTTGTTCCAGATACTGAACGGTGTTCTGGTCTGCGCGTGCAACAAATTAAAACCATACAATGACACAGATTTGAGAACAATGAGATTAATAATATAATCAGCTTAGTTAGAAATTGTTTGTAGCTTTGTGTACCTAACAGTGAGTGTGTTTAAATGTACGACCAAATGTATCTGAGGATCCTCCTTGAGTAGGACTGTTTTATTGATCGGGATATTTTGGCACTGAAATACGGATAGTAACGATAGTAGTAACGCTAACTTGCAGATTCAGGTTTCCTTGTCGACTGCTGGTGTGAATTTGTGTTTATATTTGATGTGAACTATTCAAAATGTGTTGTAACCTTTGTAAACATTCATGTGGTGGCTTAGATGGAGCATCAAAGCAACAAATCCATGTCGTCTTTGTTCCTTTTAACAATGCATATCCATCCACCCACAGTTTCATGCATTACATCTCCCATTCTTCCACATACTCAGGAATGTATCCTTTGTATTCACAGGGTATCTACAGGACTCAAAAGTGCTGCCAACCAGTTGCTCTGTTCCACATCTTTCTTTTTTTCCCCCTCTCTTCCTCTCCCTTTATTTATCCCTCTCTTTCCTCTCTCTAACTTTCCACATGTCCTCTCTCTTTTTTCTCCAACTGCCTGTCTCCCACTCCTCAGAAATGACAGCAGGCAGGTGTGGCAAAAGAACAGACAGATGGCAAGAACGACAGAAGGAACTTTTTAGGCATGAAATGAAATGAAAAGATGCAAAGAAAGAGCCGAATCTGGCAAAAACATGCACACAGTTACAAAGCATTAACTGTTTTTTAGTAAGCCATATGAACTTGATTGTTTAAAAGCACACACACACGTGCACAGTGTACATATGCCTCTAACTGTAAGCCTTTCTGATGCTTTGGCCTTGAGGCTGATGGCCAAGCTGGGGTGTATGACAGCTTATAACATCAGTATGATGGAGATGTCATTGAGCTGCTGTGTTTTATGACTTACCTCGGTGCTTGTAGCTGAGATTTAGTTTTAGGTTCTCATGTCAAATTTAACACTCTGCCTTTGCTCTGCAGAGGCACTTCATTATTCCATGGGAAAGTGTACTCAAAATGTGTTGGAGTAATGCTGGTTATGATGTTTCAATTTTTTTACTCTTGTGTGTGTGTGTGTATGATCACAGCACACATCAAAAGGATAAGCATAGAGACTTGTCCTACACTTGTTCCCGATTCAGTCAAGGCCCAGCGGTTCTTCTGGATGGGCCATTGACTCCTGCTAGACCTTGTCTGTAATGTTTAAAGACAGAATCCTGATAAAGGCTCATGGTTGTAAAAAAAAGAAAAATGACATTAACTGGCCACTGATATGGTCTGTTGTTCCTTCTCAAGGTTTATGTTGTTGGTATGTTTAATGTCTACCTCTGCTGAAGGTTTGAAGTGGTTAATCAAAAAAAAAAAAAAAAAAAAACACTTTGTGTTTCTGTTCCAACTTGCATGCTTTTTAGGTTTCAGCTTTGTTGATTTTTTTTTTCTTTCATACAACACTTTCCACGTTTGGCAGCAATTAAAATATTCCTGCAGTATTGTATTATATGGTGACGTTGCTTGTTTCCAGGGTACTTTTTGCGAACACCGCTGCCACCATCCCAGCGATCCTTTCAGGGATGCATGCAAGCGATCGTGGTAGACGACCAACCTGCTGATTTGCATGCAGTGGAGAAAGGCACAGTGGGAGCATTTGAGAATATCAGCCTGGACATGTGTGCAATCATAGACAGGTAGGAACAATCACCGCTGCCTGCACAAACATACACCCACACACACACACACACACCTTACAGTTCATGAAAGAGAAATGGACAAATAAGAAAGAGCACAAACACAGTAGTGTCATAAATCAGGAGTTTTGGAATGAAAGTCACAAAGCAAACAATACTGTTTATGTAAAATCTTTGAATTTGATCCTGAGACAAATTAATCAGGGCTTTCTTTGTCGTCTGTGCAACATCAAATGAATTATGTTTATATGTGGCTCATTTAAATGCACTTGTCAGACTGATAAATGGATATAATTTAAAGGGTGGCTTCATGGTGTAGGGGGAATGTGAGCAAGTGCTATCTGCTTTCATTTTAAAGCTATATCACATATTTCACCCTTTGGAAAAAGGCTGTGCGATCTTAATCAAGCATCAAAAATGAGTCACATAGTTCTCCATCTAATTGGGGGAGTGTAACTTGGCAAGAGTCGGATGCTTTATGTGCCATTCCTCAATGTTGTCAACAACTTCTAACAAATTGTTGACATTTCAGTTTCATTCAGTTGTTTATCTATTGAGAATACTGTTGTTTGCCAGAAAAGTTAGAACAGGTCATTTTAACAATAGATCCTTCATGTTCAGTTCTGTGAAAATATATTGTGCCTCTTGCAAATTTCTTGTGTTCATACGGATAAAAAACAAAAAATTTTCTGAAGCAATCTAACCATTTAAGTACCAGTAATTCCCTCTTAACCAGATTGTTGGCCCCAGATTGTAGCATAGTCAGCCACAACAAATGCCATTAAGCTTTTGTGGCATCTGGCAATGAGGTTTTGTAGAGGAATCTTACTCATTCATTTGTACATTCCTCGCATGAAAGGGTTTTTGAGAATAAACGTCCTGTACACGGTCAAATCCTAACATCTTAGTCATTTTTTGTCGTCCAGATTTTGACTGAACTACACTAAAACATTTATAATATATATATATATATATATATATATATATATATATATATATATATATATATATATATATATATATATATATATATATATATATATTTTTAAAACAGAGAGTTATTTTCTCAATAGTTCTGTTGTTGTAAT